ATGGGTAGACAGGTCAACATGCTGCTAATTCAATCCTTGGCCTGATGAGAACCTGTAATATATAATATATAATTTATATATAATAATATAAGTCATGTCTATTGGATAGGTGTAAACCGATATGTTATTATTAGTGTAAATTCAAAAAGTGACAAGTGTGGTTTTCTGCCTTTTTCAAATCTGGCTGGTATTATATTAGATTATGTATACATATATGCTACTGCAGGAACTTCAATAGAATTATTAATGTTATATTATTCTATAAGGGACTTTGAGATTGATACAGTACATGTACCAATAATATTAATTGTGTTATTTTGCTTAGATGTGTTGCTGTACTATTATTTTTTAGACACGTTTATACTACTCATGTTATATTATTCTATAAGGGACCTTGAGATTGATACAGTACATGTACAATAATATTAATTGTGTTATTTATGCTTAGATGTGTTGCTGTACTATTATTTTTTAGACACGTTTATACTACTCATGTTATATTATTCTATAAGGACTTTGAGATTGAAAAGGGTCGTTTGATTTGTGTTTGCACAGTATACACAAAAGTTAATGTACCTCCACTTTGAAATGTGTGTACCGGATAGTACCGGATTCTGCCGTAAATTTGCCCTGGGCCATTAAACGGCAGTTTGGATTTTTAAAGAAATAAAATGGGCGATTTTTCGGCAGTTTTTAAAGTTGTTTTTTAAATATTTTGGTGTAATTTTTCGGACATTTAAATCTTTCCTGACGCCTAAAATGGTCTATTTATGTTTTTATTCATGAGCGTGTTTATTGTGACTAGCGTGAATGGGTAAGCTTCGTTTCGATAATGAGATGTTATCACTGTATTAAAACAATGTTAAATTATTCTTCTAATGCTCAGTTTATCTTTTGAAAACAACTATTTTTTTATTTGAAAAGAAAAATCATGCCGTTTTCACATCAAAATCCAAGCCAAGCCAAAAGATTGTACTACAACATCGGCAAATCTCAAACATATTTAAATGAGCTATGGTGATTTGAACACATTGGCATCATCCAGCATTTTGATTGGTTATTTAGCGATTTGACCTATTAGGTCAACTCTGCAAGAGAAAGATTATGGCGGATAACAGCCAGCATCGAGCGTTTATATGTGACCGAAATCATTTGCTTACAATGAAACTAAGTCGAATTGTATATTTCGCCAATTAGCCTTTTTCCCCGGAGGGGTTTATACTCTGACAACTATGCTAGTGAGTATACATGTCTATAATTTTGTTACAATTTTGTGATTTCTGATTGCAGGAGAAGTTCATTGAAAGAGTGATTGCCCAAGCCATGAGGCTGCTGTCACCTTCCAAGAATGAAACGTTGTCACCTGATGAGGCTCTTCTGTTGCATCAGCAGTTCAGTGTTCTACAAACATTTGTAGAGTATAGTCCAACAATGGCATTGTATATGAAAAATAACTACACAGAAGAGTTCAAGTGAGTTTATAATGTCTTTTATCTAACCACATTCATACTTTGCTTTCCATCTACTTTTTTATTCTTCACCATGCTGTTTAGAAAAGATACAAAAATGTTAACATCACTTCAAGCATTTTAATACGATAGAGTATTACTGTCATTGCAAGAATAATCCGCTGGACAATGTCGGATGAGATGAGAAGAACGTCATGGCCAATTCACCTGGCGCATTATTGTGTCTAGACTAGACCCTTCTCACTCATTAGCAATAATATTTTCAACTTCTTTCTCAAAATCACAATTGAGGTTGCTTGCAACACTCCATGACATCTTATATTTTCCTAATTCACTATAATTGGCTGCTAGGTTGAAGTGGTGCAATTCTGCATTATTTGTGGAGGTACATCAATTTGAATGAAAGCTCATTTGTACCTGGTAACAATGTCAATACTGGATGATATACTTGACATTGACTGTTGTAAATGACATTGCATTGTTTTTGTTTTTTTCTCACAAGATATTATGTCCAATCACCATACATCATTAAGAAGTTGCCAGAACATTATCCTATCTCCAAACTTATTCTGCAACAGATCAGTGAAGTCTTGTCCTACGTTCTCCAAAAACAAACCAAGCTGGAATTCCGAAATTAAAATCAGCAAGTTAAAAAAGAATTCCTGAGACAACCCAACCTACGCCAAATAAAAACAGCTATCAACACTGAAATTAAAGAATATTATATAACTATTTTAATTTTGTTTTCTGTACTTTACCTTCCATAAAGTGAGTTTTTACCTCTTGGATTAATAATTTATCCATTTTATCAGAAATTTACCAAAATTACCTGTACTACAAGAAAAGAATTACCGTAAATATATACGACTATTTATTTTCTGTATAAATTTTAGCTTCTGAAAAGTGTGTAAATATTTAATAGTTTAAAACTTTTAGAAATGATTTCTATGTAAATATTTAAACTATTATTGCAAATGTACTATTTATATATACTGGTACTTGTAGAAATGATTTCTATGTATAGACTTACATTGTCTATTATTTCAAATTATTTCATACTATTTCTGATCACATAATACTTATGTATAATTAACATATTTTCATTCAATTGAACATACTTAATTTGTTGAATCTTTCAGGTTTCTCATCAGAAGGTGCTCAAAATATTTTGTTGCAGTTTGGGAAATTTTTGTTTTTAATTGCTGTATAAAAAAAAAATGTATTTACAATAAGAAAGTGAAAAAAACCTTCAGACAGTGTAATTTAATAGTCTGTGTGGTACACGAAATAATTCTTGTCTGTTGTACAGATGTTTACATGTATAATATAGAAAATATACATAGTGGTAATTGAATCAGTCTTACTTCTTTTCTAATCTATTTTTACCTTGCTCATATCAAAGATAGAAGGGAAAAGTATATTAAGAAGGGTCACTACTAAGGGTAATGTTACACAGCAGCAGAACCAAGTTTGGAGTATTCAAGAATAAAAAGAAATGTATAGTCACCGGTAAATTTTCGGAGATGTGGCGCCCTCTAGTGTCAAGCAATTCATGACAGACTAAACTAACTCCTAAAAATCAGAAAAATATTTTTCTCAAATATGACTTAAATATCTGGCAAAACAGTCAGTTTATCAGATAAGTAATCAAAGCTCTATAGCAAAATGATACTGAATTATGCTAAATTATCTGCATATTTGGAGATGATTGCAATTTAAAATTTCATTTTATTAAAAATTTATAATAGCAACAGTGATTTCCTAAAACTCTCCATATAGCTTGGTTAGTTTACCCTAAATCAAATAAGCTTTAAAAAATAGGGGGTCACGGATCTTGATTTTAAGATATTTACTTAAATCACATGAATCCTAATAATGGCAGTCTAGTGGTTTCCATAGCAACAAGTAACTGGTAGTTATGGGGGGGGGGATGTAGAAACTAAATTGACGAGATGTAAATTTTGTGTTGCCATGGCAACCATAAGTTAAGAATGTGTCAAATTGTTTAATGCCATGTAAATATTAAAGGTGACAATACACATATTTTAGTTGAGGTGACAGGGAGAAGGGCAGTTTAATACCACGAAGAGAAGGTGCATCAGGCCTGGCAACTTCCCTAGTTATGTGATCACTTTTGATCAATCTAGGGTGGGGCGTTTTATTTACCTTGCATATCCAGTGTGTTATGTGATCAAATTATGACCAATCCGGGGTAGGGGCCATTTTTATTTACTCCTATCACACAGAAGAATGAAGATGGCAAGTAATGGAAAAGTTACATAATACAAAAATTAATTTTATTTTCTGAGTAAACATAAATGCATGTACATATACATTTTAGTTTATTTCTATTAGAGATACGATTCTGGTATACTAGTAAACAATAAATGTGTAATACATGTATATTATAAGATCATTCTGCTCAATATACACAAATAAAATACAATATATATATCCCTGAAAGGTATTACATAGTGTACATTTGCAGTGTCAAATCACAGTGCATTAATAGGACAGTCACCAAAAATTACTTTTGATCAGCTTGAGTCAAAATATGTAGCAACAGAGTTTATGATCCTATTTGATCTTGTTACTCTAGCCATTATGTAATTCTGTGAAAAGTGAACGTATACCATCAGCACCTCTCGTCAGCCATGGATTTTGAGATTGTACCAGACTTATCATAGGATTGAATGTTGACAGGTTAAACTTTTTCCTGTCCTGGAAGTGAATGACCTGAAGAATATTGTCTATTGTGAAAGAGTGAAACAGTTCTTGCAGTGCTATGACATTCTGTGCATTATGTGCCTCATAGGTTTTGTAAAGAATATCATGAACAAGATATTCCCGTTTATAGGATGATCTGCCAGAATATGCACGTTTAAAATGAGGAACCATGTCTAGAAATCCTGCACAACAGGTCTG